GGAATTTGACTTCTAACCCGAATCAGAGTTAAACTGAAGTTTTGAAGTTCAATGAAATAAATTGAAGAATTCAAAGTTTGTTTTTTTTTTTTTTTTCAAAATTATCATTGCTGTTTTCAAAGGTGAACTTTATTTTTTGCTTTATTTTGGGACCGGAGCCCCAATTAGCCCTATGCAGGAGCGAGCTTAAATGTCCACATGGGGTGCTTCTTTTACGCTTGTTATACATAAAACGAAATCATTTTTTTTCAGAATTCATAGGCTATAAAATTTTTCTGTCAAAAGATTTTCAGTTCATTTTATGTTTCTGTTTATTTTAACATGTTTATATTAACATTTTTCTGTTTTTTATAAACATTTATTAACTCTTTTCGTTTCTTCTGAACACAATAGCTTTTGATGAAAGATCTGATAAAACATCAATTATTAGATTTATTCGTTGAATAAGAATATGATTGTTTTTATTCCGTTGTCCGTTTCTTGTTTTTATTTATTTCTGTTCAGCCAGAGTTTGCCCCGTTTTCATTGGCTTTAAGTTTTCATAGTAAGTTGCCAAATTTTATTTCACCATTAAAGGAAGAAGAAATAAGTTGGTCTTACATTTTTCTTACTGGATTATTATTATTATTATTATTATTATTATTATTTCCTTTGATTTCTTGTGTATACTCAGTTCTTTCTGGGTCTTGCCCAGAGACCAAAGGTCAGAAATGGCATCATGACATTTTCCACAGAACAATTTTAAAAAATACAGACTCATATTTTACATAGATAAAGCCCTTACACGTGAGAACAATTTTTTTGTATTTCGTTAAGCCATGAACTACCAGTGATCCCTTCTATGTATCTATTGAAATCTTTTCCAATTAATCCGAGGGCTCCAACTACAACAGGGATTGTTGATGTTCTCATGCGCCACATGTTGTTGTTGTTGTTATTATTATTATTATTATTATTATTATTATTATTATTATTATTAATGAGTAAGAGTGACGCTGAGATATAAATATATAAAACCTAATATACAATTAATGAGAGACTGATAGGGACATCCGAGACACATGTATCAATGCTAAATGTGCACGATATGGTGAAAGGTTTTGATAAAGTAGGACATAACCTTGCTGGTGGGATCCGGTAAAGAAATACTTTCAGCTCGGTAAGCTAGTCCACTTAATCAAGCGTGTTTTCCAATATCTAGAATGTGACTCCCAGGTCACCTTTACAACATCATCCCACATAATTAAAAGAAAACAATTCTCTCAATACTCAACTCTAATTCTCCCCCTTCATTCCCGCTGCTTATGAACAGAAGATACAGTTGTATTCAATCATAAGACATCAATACAAATTATGTTTTAAAAATATATAAAAGACAAGTTTGTATACAAAAATATATATATAAATTCTATCAATGTTATGAAATAATGGTGCAGGGTGACCCCGAAAACAAAGTGAAAAAAGAAACATGTTAGTAAGACCCTTCCACCCCTCAAAAATAAGAGTTGCCGTTGTATTCTGTCTTCCAACAACATCATGAGACTCTCTCTCTCTCTCTCTCTCTCTCTCTATATATATATATATATATATATATATATATATATATATATATATATATATTAAATAGTGCAGTATAATGAATATTACAAAAGAAGTAGTCATACAAAGGATAAATCAGTGAATTACCTAAAGTACTAGCATATGTATGGAATATACAGAACATCTAATCCATTTTACAATTTTTAAAAACAAGGATCGTGTCATTCAACGAGTGGTTAGTAGGTTAATGATTTATTAAATCTGTTAGCGAAGTGAATTCGCTATTAATTACATTAACTTTACTGCTTTGTTCTTTGTATGATTACTTCTTTGTAATATATCTATCTACATCTATATATCTATATCTATATCTATCTATCTATCTATCTATCTATATATATATATATATATATATATATATATATATATATATATATATATATATATATTTACTAGCAGCATGGCTTTGGCGTTGCCCGTGCGTAATTCAAAAATTGTACGACTCATACAGCAATCGCTATTACTTGACTTAAAATATTTTTGCCCTTCCTTGCCTTTAAAGGAGTGCCCTTCGCCGTGCTGATGTTGCTACATGCCTTACTTCTTTCCTATCTCACACTGCGAGTTTTTTCTAAGCTCTATACTAAACATTAAATCTGTTACGAAAAAAAGAACAAAGCAAAATGAACACAAAACGATCAGCTTTAAAAAAGGACTCGTAACTGGAAAAACCGAATGAAAAAAGAATGTTAACAACAAATTACGCGAATCAGGTTCGCCATAATAACCCACCTTTCGCTGAAATCTATCAATTGTTATCTTCACTTTTACATCATGGGGAGGTTTTTGTTGCTTTTTAGTAGATTCCATGTTTTTGAAGGTATTTTGGTTTATGTAGAAGGGGATGGCGACCGATAGATAGTGCCACAATTCCTGTATTCAATCTGTAATGAATTGTAGAAAAATCTTGTTTAATGTTAAAAACTTCAACCAATCAAGATAAGAAGCCCTGGGAGCTAGAAGTTTTGTAGGATCCGGGTATTTATTATTATTATTATTATTATTATTATTATTATTATTAGTATTGTTGTTGTTGTTGTTGTTTCTTATAATTTTAAAAACATCATTAAAAATCCAAATTTTATCCTAACAATTGAACTCGTTCTTTGAATTCCTGATAAAATCTCAACGTCTCAGCTTATGCAATCCGTAAAGAAAAAGGAAAAAAAAATATTTTTACAAGGTTCCAAATGAAAACAAAAATGACCACGGATCAATGAAGCAACCCATTTACCTAGATTTCAAAATATATCTGCTTGGAAGGGAAGTTCTTGTATTTCAAGAATATTAAAATTATTTAGCAATCGCAAGAACTTTTCTTCCACCGAAATAAAATGAGAGAGTTCCATAAAACGTCTTTTTACTGAGCAAATTACTTATATTGTTATTGTTGTTATGTAATTATCATTTATTGAGAGGGAGACCAAGACTTTTGAGTCCAACCGTCAACACGACGAAGATCTGGGAGGTGCCGTTAGGAGGGCCCGACACGCCCAGCCTCATCCATCCGGAGAGAGAGAGAGACAAAGGAATTAAGGGGAGAGGATGACGATCCAGATGCTCGGAGGCGAGCGGGTGTCGACGCCGAATTATCATTATTCCAAGAAATATTGTATTAATACAGAATTTCATTGATTATTATCAACAATTATTGCGTGCATTCTGTCTCTAGTGTCATAAAAGTAGGGACACGTATATATATATATATATATATATATATATATATATATATATATATATATATATATATATATCATTTTATGTTTGATAAGCGCTTTCAAGGTGAAATCAGATTTCTGTGTCTTAATACTTGAAGATTGGGTTTTCCATACAAAATTATTTATGAAAATAGCAAATAATAAATGAAACAATCATTTCATTGATTGTAAAAATGGATTGGAACTGAAAAGGGTTAATAAAGTAAAAAAATGAATAGAAATGAACAACATGGTTCTTTTGAAGCACATTACATGACAGAGTGCAAAACTAGTGACTGAAAATTATGATTTCTGCGAACACAAGAAAACAAAAAAAGCCAATCAGGATAGGAAATAAGACTAGAGAAACAATTTAAGTAATTTTGCATACAGAAGCGAACCTATGGAGAATGAATTCTAAAAACGGGAAGAGGCCAATATATGACAAATGACAAGACATAAAAGTAACAATTGTTGTAATTACGAACTAACATCAGATGATTATGCCAACGTAGTAAAATGTAGTAACATAGAATTAAATTCAATGGTAGTCTGTCGGGTTTAACAATGGCATCTATATGATGGAGTAAACTTGAAGGTAATGGAGGCAGGTTAAAGTGGCCTGGAGATTAGGGCGATCCTACTGTCTTTCTGTTCGCATAGACCTTATTGGAACTCTCACGTCTGTTTGTCTCAAGTGCCTTCTGTTGCTTCGTCCGTCAAGGCACGTCATCCAGTTCGATCCTGTACTCATTCTTCAAACCTCTTGGCAGGCGGACTATTCAAGTGAGGCGATGTTGGCCTTGATTCAGTCTTTAAAAAATAAAAGGAAAATGTGTACCGATCTTAAACTAAAGCTTTCTAGATGAAAATTACGATAAGAGACAAAAGGATTAGAAAAGCTTTCTTGTTTTAAAAAAAACAACTTCCTTGATTACAAAATATAAGAATAAATTTAAGCGTAATATATTTAAATATTAAATATTTTAATCGTTCGTTTAAACATGTGTTATTCCAAAGAACAGAGAAGAATGTATTTTTAATCATTTTGATGTTGAAAACTTTTAAAAAACCTGCTGAAATTGTATGTAATGTTCTTCGTATTTTTGATCATCGTTGTTCATTATCAGAGAAATAAGGTAAGAGTTAAGCTAAAAGCCAGTGATCGCAAAATTGTACCAAAACATGATAGAATCTATAGAATCTGGTCTAAAATATCTGTTGGCAATAACATTTATTCTGCAACATCATCATACTTCATTACGTTACAAGATTTTAAAATAACCATCATAGATAAAGGAAAAGAATAGATTTATAAACTAAAATAGAAAAAAAATTCCTGCATGAAATAAAATGCAGTTATAAATGACGCCATTTTGTCATTCCAGTAGTTAACAGAACTTCGTCATTGAGCATTAAGTGATTCCTGATTTTGCACCAATAATTTTTTGTGGCATTTTGCGAATTCCATGCCAAATATAGTTTAATAGATTTATAACATTTTCTATCGGCATTTTCTAAACACTATTATTTCGATATTTATTTGTATTGGATAATATTAGAAAACATATTTTCCTTCCAGGAATCTAAATTTAACTGCAAAAACATCCAGCCACACTGAGAAGGAAGAAATGACATAGACATAAATTGAATTGAAAAATGTAATTATTGAAAAATACTATCAAATTTCTAGAGATCATGATATTAACGACAGCAATATACATAGATAGATACATAGATGTGAACATTATATATATATATATATATATATATATATATATATATAGATAGATAGATAGATAGATAGATAGATAGATAGATAGATAGATAGATAGATTTGAACAGATAGACACATAGATATGAATAGATGAAGATAGATAAATAGAGAGACATGAACAGATAGATAGATAGATAGATAGATAGATATGAATAGATGAAGATAAATATGAAGAAATCGATAGATAGATATGAACAGATAGATAGATAGATAGATAGATAGATAGATAGATAGATAGATAGATAGATAAGTATTACCCTTATCTTTATTGTAAATAATGAAAAAACATACCTTTATCGATGAGCAGAATTTTTCCTGACTTTATAAATTAAACGCATCGACATTTGCTTCTGAATCGACCATTTTCTTTCATTCAAGTTAATCAAGTTGCGGTCAAGAATTGAAAAAAATGTGAAGAACGAAGTCGACCATATTTAGTCGACGAATTCGTCAAGCATGTGGGAATAATACTGAATGTGAATGCACCGACAGGCACTTGTTCCATAGGTTTAGGCCGGAAGACCTGTCGATTTGCGATTAATGCCGCAGTGGCCGGGAACAGGTTCTGGATGTTGAGACCCTGAAGGCGGCCATAGAGGAGGACCACATCCAGTGGCGATCTTGCCGAACGCTTCCAGGCTTTTGATGTCAGACATCACCTGCACTGCATAAGGAAGGCGTACAAGTTGAGCAAGTGGGTAACCTACATACATGTCGGGAGCCAAGAAGTAAAAATCTATCTATATTTGACCGTGTGCACACTAGTGACGAAAAGTGGGTCCAAGCGTATCTGACATTGGTTGTCGCCACAGGACTATGTGTCTCACTCAAAAGACCACATCTATCTCCACGCAAAATCATGCCATGTATCTTTTAGACTACTCGACAAATGGTGCACTATGAGCTGCTACCAAATGACCAAACCTTCACCGCCGACTTGTACTCACTGCATTTGGAACGCTTTAAACAGACACTGAAGCAGAAGGAGAAAGCGTGAACCTCTTCTCTATGACAATGCCGGGCTTCATGTGGTGAGGATGGTCAGGGATACAATACGGTGACTTGGCTGGGGGAACACTGTTCTAGCCACAATATTCCTTACTACCTCTTCTGTTCGCTAGAAAATCAATTTTCTGGGAAATACTTCACAAATAAGGCAGACTTGCCGCAGACACTGACAGAGATCTTTGCACCCAAGACAACTGATATTTAACGTATGACATTGCGTAGCTGAAGGCATGTTGACATGTTCTACATGCATATGGAGATTACCTTGAGAACTAACAGTATGTCAAATTTGCTGAGATATCAAAAACAGCAAGGTCTTTTCTGGTCACGTTGTAATATACACCGTAATTTTTAGACAAGCAAGTGTGAAAATATCTCTTTTAATTGGATGATCAGTTATGAGGAAAATGTCGCTTTGATTTTCAGATTGCTATTTAAAATGTTCGCAATACAGTGTCCATTGACTGGTTTTTATGGCTCTCAACCAGAAAAGTTTTTGATTTCTGTTTCCATAAATTACGCCAGAAATAAAAGGATTTGCGGAACTGGAACTAAAGACAAACCAAACATTACAGCTTTTAATTTCATCAAATCGATTTATCTAATTGACAGCACTAATTTAACAGTATTATGTGATACAGATACGAACAATGTTTGTAATCTTATTTGTAAAAATAATTTACATTTTATTATCCGTTATTTTGTTTTTTCGGAAAAAGTTTTTGCATAAAACATGCTCACCAATTTTGTAAAATGTTAGCTATTTTTAATTTAGTCAACAAATTCTTCTGTCTAACATCTTTTTTCTTGTTGATCTAGTCCATATATTTCAGTTAAAGAATTTTATGCTTGAGGAAGGCGAAAGAATACATCGGCCGAAATGTTAAAACTAAGAAGAATGAGAATATTCGAATATAATCATTATTTCTAAAACAAATCGTGAAATTTCAGACAATTTTAAATCTACATATCTCATGAGACAATTAATGTCGATTATTGTTTTTAAATTCAGATGGGCATGTTATTAAGTTAAGTGATATTTGCTTCCTAAGCGCCTGACTTTTGTCAGTCTCTATATTTATATAAAAATGGTTGACTCTTAGATTTCGGGCAGTTAAGTTATATCAATATTGGTTGCAATAAATGAGTTATTTATAATAAAAAATGAATTCGTAGATACATTTTTATCTAAACTTATGAAATAAAAACTGATTCAAAATATTTAGTTTGAATATCGCGAATACCTGTGGGCAACTAAAAGAGATTTATTCGATTTGTTTAGAAAACATAGGAAAGTGTTCTACGATGGCCTTATCTTTGCATCGATTACAGTTACCCATGTCTACTGTTGAAAAGCTGACTTAAGGAAGGCGTCTACATGTCTTATCGTTCATTGAGATGCAATCGTTAAATGAAATCAAATCAAAAACTGATATGAAGAGCCAACAATTATTACACGACCAGAATTATTATGAATGTAAATTATTTTGGGTGTACCTTTCATAAACTGGAAAGCATGTGTCTTGTATAATCAAACCGCACTACAAAATAAGACGAAAAAAAAATTTATTTCAAAATGAAATCTAAGAACATGTTTATTTTCAATCAACTCGAAATAAAGTTACTTTACATTTATATCTGCTTCTTATGTTCCTTCTTACTTGACTTAATGTTTATTAATTTACGTTTCATTTTTTTTTAATTTTATATTTTTTTAGATGAAGCATTGTCGAAATATATCATAATACAATTATAAGATATTGGTTGTTTTCGATCATCTTCTCTGGCTTGTGACGGTAGCATTTCGCGTCGACATCCAAGTTGATGCTTCCTACATAGACACTAATGCAAATAAGAGGTCAATGGGCCCCTCGTCGGGGTGTAATGGTTAGCAAGCTTGTCTCGCTAAAATAGTTACGACTGAATAGTGAGTTCCATCCTCATTGGGTGCCCTTGGGCCATATCTAAGCTACGCTTAGAAAATTAATATAAGGCACCTCGAGGTGGTGTAATGGTTGGCAAGCTTGTCTCACTAGAACAATTACGACTGAGTAGTGAGGTCAATCCTCACTGGGTGCCACTTACTTTCGGCCTTGGAAAATCACTATAATGTAGTCATTTATATTCTTTCTGTGCAAACATTTCACAAACGCTAACTGTATGTGCCATCTCCATGCTACACAGCCTGCACTTTTTTGTAATCCATTTCGTGGTAGATGTTCTTCCGAACAGAATCATCATTCAGGACTCGATCTTGGGAGGCAATCAGTAGTCCTTCAATCCCGCGTTTCACTTCGTCTCGTCGAACAATCCCACGAATGTTTGGCTTTAAGGTCCCTCTTAAAGTAACATTACTTCTCTTGCTTAGAATTTCACTTTCAGTATACTCTTCATGTCTCCTTCTTTGCTTTTGTTTGCGGGGGAGGGGGATTCTGTCTCTTCTCTGTTTATCACGTACTCATGACCTATATTTACTTGCTACACACTCTTTAATGCAGATAATAATAATCCTATTATAATTGTCCTTGCTGTTCCCTTAGTTCGAACGACCGTTACGCCTTGCCAATACTTCATAAATAAGGGACTATTCCGTTTTGATCGCGTGGAAAAAGGGAAATACCACTACAAATGAAAGAAATAAAGAAGGGGAGATTAAAGTGAAGAGAGAAAATCAGAGGAAAAAAATGAGAACAGATACTACGCTTTCGTCGTAGCCAAAAGGCCGAGAAGCGATTGTATTTTTGCCTCTCCACGCTGGTAGGATGTGACATATCTTATCGCCTCCCAATCGGGACTGACCCGTTTGTTCGCGCGCTTTCGAACAACCGTCCAGTCCATCTAGCCACATATCGTTCGAATGCCCGGACATACGCCCTGTGGTTCCATGAGGAACTATAACGTATGGCTGCGTTAGAGCGCGGGTCGTTGTCGCTGGGCATGTAAAACGTTAATGCTTTCATTGCGTCGAATATGTCACCCCCAAGTGATGCTATTAACTGCAGACGACGTAAGGATGACTATAAGTCCATCCTGAAATCGTTTGAATGCACAACCCCCACCACCGGCCAAATCGGAACTCTGGCATCGGCGGTTCCGGTGGCACTGGGGACCACCGCCCTCCCAAGGAAGCTATAACGGCATGACCAGCGGAGCGTCCGAGGATAGGTGGACGCCACTGAACTGCTGCTAAGATTAAAGTTTTGCTGAACACGCCGCCTGAGTCTCTGGACTCTGAACTTGCCCCTTCACCTACCCGGTCATATGGTTTCCGCTATAGGATCCAAACGACGGCTTCTCCCATGAGCTGGCCCTACCGGATGTGCGGAGCTTAGTGTCGAAGCAAGGGACGGCTGAGCCCCAACAGGGACTTAACAAGCATAACGAGAACACCTCGGAATTGCTAAGTATGTCACCGGCCTCATGCCTAAAATTTCTGATCCTATGATCCAGGAAACGGTAAAGCTAATCGTTTCTCTATGCTTTATTAAAGTTATCCTCAAGAACAAGACCATGAGCAAACAAACGATACCGATTGTAAAGGAGTGACTGAGAAGGCGTCGCGCCCAGCGCGCTAAGGTCTAGAACTTCAACAATAACCTCTCCTATAAGGGGTTAGTGGACGAGCGAGCTTTCAGCAATGAGGACTTTTGCGCGTTTGGAAACCAGTTTTGGAACGTGACTGTTTGGCGGACCTGGCTGGAGGCCATCCCTGCCTGCCGATGAATGAACTCACTATACCAACATAGCATCTACGAAAGAATGCTTTCCAGGCCCGGATGGCCTCTACCTCCATATTTTGCGGGATATTCCCGTAGAGGACATTACCATTGTCTGTCGCTAAAAGGGTCCGCAAAGCTAGCAACATTTTCACCTCTCGGGTAACTTATATCAAGAAGGTGGGGGTGCCTGATAAACCTCTGGAATTCCGTCCCATCACCATCTGGAACTACTAGCCGTTTGGAGGCATCTCTCCCTAGCTATCAAGACCAGGTCTATTTCAAACATCTTGATGGAATTGCCTTCAATATCGTCAAACTTCAAGCGGAACACTCGTTAGCCCGATCCAAATACGAGAACCTTGTGGTCGCCTCCGTAGACATCCGGAAAACATTCGACTCAATATCTCACGAAGTACTATTGAGTATAATTCTGACGGAAGGGTGTCCTTATGAGGTCATTGGCGCGCATGTTTTAGAGATAGTGGGTTGCAGACTGGCAAACAACTGATCCACCTAAAACATCAGGGCAGCAAGCAGGGGGTATTCTTTGTCTCTGTGGCTTTTTAGTCTGGCGCTTGATCAGATCCTGGAAGCATAGAAAAAGTACGCCATCAGCCTTAGCGGAATAGTACTGAATTAGATGGTTTACGCCGATGATTTGGGTGAGATGCTAAAGCCGCTTATTCGGCTCTCCATCGATTTATGTCCCCTTGGTCTGGAGCTGAACGCCCTTAATGTAATGTGCTTGCTATTCGCGGTAAAGAGGAGGAATCTAGCTTCGTTGACACTAATGTATAGCCTCGCCAGTTGTAACAGCTGTATCTAAAATCCGATACCACGGATTTCAGTTTAACTGGAGGAACGTTACTCGCATACCGTTGAGCATTTGCCCACGCTATTAGATAGGTTTAACCAGGCTTTGCTTAAGCCTCAACAAAAGCTTATACTTCTCAAAAATCTTCTTATTGCGTTTGCAACACCAACTAACGTTCGATCGTTTCCGAAAAGCCGAACTGGTCAAGTGTTTGAAAGCGGTTCGTCGGTCTATTCGCAAGTGGCTCAGTCTGCCTGCGGACTGTTCCAACTCCTCATTCACACCAAGGAAAAATTCGGCGGATTAGGGGTTAATTAGTTAGAAATGCTCATTTCGACATTGAAGGACAACGGCCTTCCTATCTTTTTTGCGGGGACGAGGACGAAGCTGCCATAGTCTCCCATCCCGCTGCGCGAAGTCTGATGACATACCGTCACAAAGGAACAATAAACAGCCCCCGTGAGAGCCTGGTCGAAGACCTCCATAAAATGTCGGACACTAAAGGGCTATGAACGAGTACCAGCCGTCAATAACTGGCTTGAGCATACGCTTTTTCCGGGGGACGTTAGAGTCCGTCTAGGTGGTATGGGTACCCAGTCCCGATTATTCCGGGGTGGCAGAGCTGTCGATTCCATCTGCAAATGTGGTCGCAATGTTCCCATGATCGTTCCTCACATTGTCCAAGCTTGCGGAATTGTTTGCGGCCTCCGAACTAAGCGTCATGATAACGTTGTACTGCTCATGGCGCAGAGCCCACTAAAACGCGCCGGCCGGAGGGGTGGGGGGTGTACGGGCTTTGCCAGGGGAACTCCTGGACCATGCCGAATAACCCAGGAACTACACTGACACGCTCGGACACCACCCTATTGATACGGGACTAAATCACCTAACCTTGATAGGTTAAAGATAATTTTTCCGACCCTTTCCCATTTAGATGACAACAAATGTATCCCATCACCCAGCATTTGGTAAACGAAGTTCTGTTCCCTGATCGACGGCCAAGTGGGCGGGCCGGTCAGAGTGCTTCCTACTGGAGGGCGGGCGGTAGTGAGTTAGAGAGCCCAAGCTCGTGCACCCAGCCCCACCTAACCGTTGTTTGCGGTGGCATCGGTATTATTACCGATCCCCACTCTTTAGTGCAATGAGGGAGATACTGTCGCGGGCAGTTTTTTTTTTTTTCCGACACCGGGCATCTCTTAACAATATTTTCAGTTGCGGTCTGTTCGCACAACTGAAAGATTAAATGTAGTTTATCCGCCCGAGAACAGACACTACACTTTGATTCCGGCGAAAAGAAACTATGCTCACGACGATAGAAGAGGCATATTTCAGACGCAATGGATCCATCGACGGATACAGAGCAATTACCAAAAATCCTGCTACCATAAATAAAATAACATCGCATTGTTAATTATTGTTAAATTTTTCTTGAGAGAAATGTTAGCAAGACAGGGATTTTGATTGCGTAGAAGAGAAAGACACTACTTGGTTTTAGTGAGAAAATGAACGCAAGAAGGAAGATAGAAAAAGAAGGAAAGAAGGAAAATAGAAATGCTTAACATCTGCTGACAATACCTCATAAATAATAGACTATTCCGTTTTGATCCCGTGGATAGACAGGAAAGACACTATTGAATTTCAATAAGAAAATGAAAGAAAAAAGGAAGAAATGAAGATAAACATGTTTAACGTCTGTTTCAGTGAAATCGAAAAAGTTGTCAATTTTAAATCTTTTTATTTGTATCCCCTTACTTCTTAAAATAAACAACCACCATTCATATTTATGATTGTTATTGTAATATTGTGTCAAAGTTCTTAAACTCAAATATTTAACGACACTATAGGGAAATTTCTTCAGCTATTTTATTGTCGCCATGAACTTATTCAATCATTAACTGAAGAATTAAGATTCATCAAATAGGAAAACCGTGAAATTCTTACGGAGTAAAACTAGTTAGCATTATTGTTGTTGTTTTTGTTATAGATGTTGTTATTGTTCTTCTTCTTGTTTTTGCTATTGTTGATGATGATGATGATAAGGATGTGTTTTGCAGTTGTCCCCAGTCTCAAATGTAACAAAATGCAACCAGGGAGAAAATATGTAATCACTGCATAGCGATAAATCTAAGCATGTTATTATTATTATTATTATTATTATTATTATTATTATTATTAATAATAATAATAATAATAATAATAATAATAATTTCCTCTTCTGTTTACATTCTGAGACGTTATCTTTTCGATCGACGTTGTGTACCGACTGCCGTAGAGTGACGGCCTGGTGAGATCGTGGAGTAAACGGTGAATTTAAAGGCTATATTCTATCTTCTGCAAATCCGTTGCGATCTCGTTGCACAGTTGGTAAATGCATAAATTACTTTTAAATAAGCTTTCTCGTGGAAAATGGGACGTAAATTTGTGACACCCACAAATCTTATCTTTCCAACGTATGTCGTCAATTCACTACTGTAGAACGACGGTTCAAATGAAAAAAAATTACAAAATTATGATTTAAGTTTTTATCAGTCAACTTTCCAAATAAAAATATCATAGAACTAGAGAATGGCTTTCAAAATACGGCTGTTATTGTATATCGTAATTTAACATCAATAAATCGACTTTTCTCATATTTTGAAACTGTAAAAATACCTTGTCACTGGCATGTCACGTTGATAAAAAGAAGAGCTGATAAATGACGAAACTACTCTTTCATAATTGTTAGATATAGTCTTACAGCCACTGTCAGGTATAAATATATGGCGGTGTCTTGTGGATAAGCGATATATTATACAAACTTTCATATAAAGTTTGAAATATCCTTTCAGAAATTATGCCAAGATTTTGAAGTGACTGATATTTCCTGTATTTTTTTATATCTTAAAACAAACTGACAATGTGTCGAGAGAACTAGCAAGAAACGAGGGACTGTTGATAGATAACCTAAAACTTCGTTGATATTACAACATATGTCACCTCAGAGATTACCTTGTTTGCTATAATAAAAGAAAGAAAGAGAAGTCAGTTTATATAATTACGGTTCTGTGTTTTCGAGTCCTGTATGTATCTCTAAGAAGACCTTTTTTTTTCCTTATTCAAGAATCTTCAAAGTGAGAACACAAGTTGAAATGATCAAATTGAAGCACTTCATTTATTAATGTTGTGAGTAAAATGTTTTCGCCTACGATTGAAATACTGACACGTTACTGTTCTGTGCCCATTCGTTTGCTTTGGGTATCTTTCGTTTTGAAAAGATTATTTCCGAAAAAGTCAGCAGGAAAAAATAATTTATTCAATAAAAAACAACTTGCACTTCGCAACATTACATTGGAGTGTGAACAGGGAATTAAAATATTGATGCAAAAGCATAATTCAATCAAAAACATGACAAATATCATTTGGGATTCAAATCAGACGTTTACTTAATATTGATTTTTTCTTGTCATCTTCTGCCTTTTACTCGTAGAAAATAAGACAAAAAATAAACAGTGTTCTATGGTTGAATTTCCAACTAGAAAAATAAAATAGAAATGTTCTTGAGTAAAATAAACTTTTTTCAGATAATAAGCTAACTCGTTTATAATTTTTTCAAACACCGTAACTTCCAAACTCTTGTTAATTTCTCTTCCTCAGATATGGAAAAATAATTATTCCTGACTTAATAAGCCAACACACATATCAGGCGCCATTCCATGTCCACAATAATTAGTCGATTTAAAGCCAAAAGTCCTGCCCATTTCCCCAATGGTTGCAAAGCTCAGTGTTCAAATCCGGATGAATGAATGAATGATTTTTAAAGGAAGAAAATACTATTCACTCGGGAGAGAATTTTTTACTAAACAATCTTTTATTTTATTTTGATGTATCATTAAACTAATCAAACTAAAGATTAAAATAATTATTCGTTTATTCAATTTTCTTTTTTTTTTTTTATAAAGCAACAAGCAATCGGGATTTTGCATTTATTATTAATTCACAATCAATTCAAACGATCGATAAATTGATAGCGATCTCCGAAAATTGTTAGACAAGTTTTGCGTCGAACTCTGAGTTCGATAGGCAGTCATTGCTGTTTTGATTTTATCATTACTTTCAAGGACAAGTCTTTGATTTAACAAAATTAACTGTCTATATTTCAGAGATGAGGTATTATCTACACTATTTACACTATTCGTACTATTGTCCTCGTCTTTGTCACCATATTTATTACAACGATTTGGCCGTTGTACGCTCCGGCCTTCTTCAGGTGGTTGGAATATC